TTTATATGTTTACCATATTGATACAAGTTAATTTTGTTGCAGGTACCCTAGGCAATGATGTAGGGCCACGTCTGTTATGTGTCATTTAGCATACTAGAGACAATTAGTGATTTTAGAACCAAGGTGAAGATTGTAAAAACGTATTTCTCAAATGGCACCTTTAGTAAGGGTAATCTGGTCCATTGGTGTATGTTGCCCAGTTGAATGAGGATGGCCGAATGCCAACCCCCAATTGGCCATTGGCATCTCACCTATGCTTGTTTAAAACCAATCTGGTCCTTCCATTCTGATCAATAGTTGAGACTTATTGGCTACATTATTTTAGTACTTGGGCTTAAGATGATTTTGACTCATTCACTTGATTTTTCATATTCTTGAGTATTAAAACGTCTCTTTATTTTTTGGAGGGTTCTTCGTTTTCTTCGATCTTTTGAGTCTGTGATCTCGCATGAAACCTTAATCATATGTAAGAATCCTATATAATCAGTCATGCTGCAGTAGTTTGGCCTAGTTTTTGTCTACTTTGTTAGGCTGAAGGGTTCTTGGTTTTGTTGTTGGTTAAGGTCATGATTTGTAATATCCATTTTGATCTATGACCAAATTTGGTGTTTGACTGTGGTTTCATTTTATTGTACCGTCTTTTGAAAGGTTATTTTGCATATAGTGACGGGGTTAAGGTCGTGATTTGTTGGGTCTATGGCCAAATCTGATGTGTGAGTGTGGTTTCATTTTATTGTACTGTCTTTTGGAAGGTTATTTTGCATATAGTGACGGGGTTAAGGTCGTGATTTGTTGGATCTATGACCAAATCTGGTGTGTGATTGTGGTTTCATTTTATTGTACCGTCTCTTATAAGGTTATTTTGCGTATAGTGATGGGCTAACCTCTAAAGCCCCGGATTAGGTGATTTTGTTGAACTGGATGAACAGTCTTTGGTGTTTTAACTGCTTTTTTGTATGATCTATTGTCTCATTTTTACTTTAGCGCATTTCTGGGGCTAAATTCCCAAGAGTTATAAAACTTTCATGCAATTAAAATGTAGTCTAGTTATTAAAAGCTATGGTATAAATATATTTAGCCTTTCCAATCTTTTCCCAGCACCGTTGGTTAAGTGAAGTACGATGGTAATTGAATAATCTACAACTTAATCTTAGAAGAATAATACTCAGCCCTGATTTCCAAAATAGAAATGAGTGGGGAAGAGGAGTGGAATCAGGGATGGGAATAATGGTGCTCGACTGCAGTCCGAATAAAACAAAAATTGACTGTGTTTTCCACTTATTGACTCTTTTGAACTTATGAAGTCAATTTCGAAAGTGACAAATATTATTTCTTAATGGTAAAAATCACATTAAAGTAATTTCTACAGCATCTAATTTTAGTATAGGAAAATATCATGTTGATGGAAGAAAATTGAGAGAATATTGAAAGTACGAAAGGTTTTAGTATAGACACGTTTAAATTTTAGTCGATACAAGTGCCAAGCATTTCTGCATCAACCCATGTGCTCGTGGGGATTGGTCACTCCTTCGCACCACCCTCTTGTGTACACTTAATTATGGTTTTTATGCCATTTTCGAGACAAATGTGTAATACAAGAGAGTCTTTTAAATCTTTCATTGAATGACATATTCTATTTTATGCCGAAGACACTTAAGTTGATCCTCGGATACTAAAGGCACCTTTGGAGTGATTCTGTAGTCCCTAAAGGGGTAGAGAAGATGAAGGAAGGTAAATCGATTTTCCTTCCTCCAAAATCATCTATAGCTAGCATTCTATACGACTAAGATAGTCTCACCAAACTCAACATAAGGAAATTACCACTCTTTGATCTCTTAGTGATCTCAAAATCCAAGAAACTACCGATTTCTCATGGAACTTTGTCTAGTAAGATCCCAGAAGTTTACTAAGAAATCTCCAAAAAGCATTTTTTAACAAGTTTACGGGATCTTTTTATTCATAGACCTTAACCAGAATTTAGAACAAGTTGATTCCATGATGTCGATGAAGAATAACCATTTGGAGAACACTGTTCTACTTTCACTAGTCAAATCTGACATTTCCAGTGATGATTAAATGAACTAAGAGTGTGTTTGATTATATTTATTTTCCATGGAAAATATCAATTTTCCACTCAAATTCCTACTTGGAGTGTTTGATTGCTATTTTTTTCCATGGAAAACATTTTCCAATTTTTGAAAATATGTCTAATTTTCCTTGTTTTTAAGGAAAATATTTTCCTTAGGTAGAGGTGGTTTTTATTTTCCACAAAATGTGGAAAACATTTTCTTTTCTAAGTAATATTTTCCATGCCAATCAAACACACTCTAAGGGAAAATAGAAAATTAGCTTAGACCCGGAGTAAATATAATTTGAAGGTGATAGAATATCATGGTACCACTAGTTTTGTTGTTAGAGTGAAGGTGCAAAGACACCTTGTGTATAGCGTCTTTCTTTCTCAACACCTTGAGTATAATTCGTATCAAATCTGAAATTGCTTTGTTGAAAGCGAAACAGTTCTGGTACCAATTTGTTGAAAACCAAACCAAATAATTAAAGACGAGAAAATATGCACAATATGAAAATAATGGATTACAAAGAAAACAATATTTACATGGAAATCCAAATTCAGGAAAACCATGGGCAGAAACAGAGAATCCACTATAACCAATTGTAAGGAATTACAAAGGATCTCTTTGGACCAATAACTAATTGGATAATTAATCAATTCCAATATGTATTGTATACCACATATTTATAACCAAAGAATCCAAACATACTAGGAGAATTAACACATGAAGAGTTTAATATAAGGTGAAATCCCAATACAATGGATAAAACCAGTAATTAAGAACTTGAGATGAAATAGAAGTCAAATTCACCTTGAACCCCTTCAAGACATCTTCAAGTCTACTACTAACTCCCAAAACCTCTCCAAAAGAATTTCTAATCAAAATACTCATTCGAGCCCTTGTTTGAGCCCCATTTTTGTGAAGAAAATGAATTTTTGAATAGTGTATTGATGGGAAATGTGTGGTTAAAAAATAAGGAAAAATTTTTTAGTTGCGTATAATATTATTTTATTGAAGAGTGTGTGGTTAAAATGATGTCAAATCACTGTTGAAAAATGTATTTTGGTTGAAAAATGGGGCTCAAACAAGGGCAGAATTTGAGTCACAATCCAATTCTAACAAACTCCACCTTAACGGAAATTTCATTATAAGGAATAAAACTTAACTTTTCAACAAACTCCAAAAATAATTCTTTAAGTAGAACACTCCAAACAAATTACTTCAACTCTTCCACCATGCCTCCATCGGGCATACTAAGCAATTGTAAACTAAATCCAAGCCCTACTTACCAGCAGAATTACCTTGCGCTTGAATCATCTCATTCATTACCAGCTCCAGCCGAGTCATCAAACCTATTTGAATCACTACGAACACTTCCAACTTCACTTGACTTGACTTGTCAAACCTGCTCGAATCATCACAAGCAACATGATCATCAAGTTCACGACTAACTCCATCTAAGTCAACAAATTTGCTCTAATTATCCCCACGAACAACAAGATCACAAATCCTTATGTTTTTTCCTCTCCAGCATCCAATCAAAAGTTTGTCATAACAAAATCTGGTATTGTAATCCAAAAGCAAAATCTCAAATTATACTTATCATCCCTGAAACAATCAACATTGTTCAAACCTCATTTTAATAACCAAGCTGGCCCTCCCAAGAACAGCCAACACCTTGTCTTTGATGCCACTTGTTATAATTTGAACTAGATCTGAAATCACTTTGTTAAAAGCGAAACAACTCTTACACCACTTTGTTGAGAATTGGACCAAAAAATTAAAGACTAGAAACTATGGGAATATGAAAATAATTGATCACAAAAAAAAATAATAATAAATATATATATACACACACACACACACACACCTGAAAACCCAAATCCAAAAAAACCACGGGCAGAACTTCACTATAATCAATAGTAAGGAGCTACAGAAGATTTCTTTGAACCGATAACTAATTGGACAATTGGTCAATTCCAATATTTGTTGTACACCACATATTTATAACTAGAGATTCCTAACATAATAGGAGAACTAATACATGAAGAGTTTAATATAAAGTGAAGTCCAAATACAATAGGTAAAACCAATAATAAAGAATTTGATATAAAATAAGAGTCAAATTCACATTGAACTCATTCAAGACATCTTCAAGTCTACTACCAACTTCAATACTCCTAACAGTATTTCCAATCAAAATGCTCATTAGAGTTCAAGTCACAATCCAATTCTGACAAAGCAAGTATTAAAAAGACAGTCTATTCAGTTCTAATCCTTATGAAACAAGTTTAATGCAACTTAACTCTAACAATGATCATTCTATTGAGAAGCAAACATAACAAGTTAAGCAATGATTTGGGAAACTAAAGGGCGCCCCCTTTTTTTATAGGTAAAACTGAGCCCCTGTTTGACAAAGCTTTTATAAGCTGGTCAAACTTGTAACTAAATTCTTAAGCAATTGACTAATTATTAAACCAGAAGCTTCTCTATAGAAACAAAGTCAATTGTATAACATTTTATTCTGGCAATCCACCTGTAGACAGTTGTTCTCCAAAAACCAAAATAAAACTTAAAGCACGTTCGGCTAAGCCTAAAAAAGTGAAGTTACTTAAAAGTACGTTATTACTTATTCTTCAAAAGTATTATTTCTTTTGGGCTAAGCGAAAAACTTCTCTAAGTTTTGTCAAATGCTGGCTTTTTCGACATCTCCTCTGAAGTTCTTTGCTTTAGGGATTCAAATAAGAATGTGGATCTAATTGTAACTTGAATTCTAAGTCTTACAGAAGTTAACTTGGTGACGGAGGCAAAGCTCAAACCAGTGAAACTTGACAATTGATAATGTTATGAGCCAAAGCTTTTCAATAACTAAAGATACAGATAAAGGAGCGAACCAAGCAACAGTGATATTTCAAATACACATAAGAAGAAAAAGAAAGTAGACTCGTGCTAACTGACAGTGTTCACAATAACATTAAAGATTTGTTATGCAGAATACAAATTTGGATTATGCACACTGTTACAACATATTTCTCTTTACTTTTCTTTTGTTTGAACAAAGGCTGAAACATGACTCGATGAGAAAACACTCCTGTCCACCTATTTATAAGGCATCAAAACCTAGAAATCTATACATGTAATCACACTTTTCATTAGGGACAAAAATCGAGTTGTAATCAACTACATGACAATCATCGTAAATGAAAAAACTTTTTCTTACACAAATCAGATGCTGGTAAGGTAGATTATCTACTGTATATACAGCAAGCAGCGTCAATTCCATTACATGTAGGAGACTTTTGGTTGTAAGAAGGGGTGGTTGTCAAAATTTGAACTGCTTGATCAGAGCCAAAAGTGAAGCATGTCCTGTATTCAATATCAATGCATTACTGAACAAGTAAGGCAAGTAGAAGTAAAATAATAAAAAGGAGATATGCAACACTTCTCACAAATAAAAGGAAGCATATACCATAATATGAACTACATAAAAATTGGAGATTAAAAATGGTAATTAAGAGTACCTCCATGAGGGGAACTAAGGAGAGCTCCTCCTCTTTCCGAGTAGACTTCTTCATTTTCCAATTCCTAATCTCAGAATGTAACGAATGTATTTGCTCTTTGATCTCATTCAACAATTTCAGTTCTTCCATTCTATTAGTTGATTCTTGTCCTGCAGCTCGTCTCTCAGCATCAAGAATCTCTGATGCACCATTCCGTTGATTCAATTCGGAAATGCTGGTTGTGGCCCGATCAACAGCTAAACGGCAGTCAATAGTAGAAAGATTATTTTTGTGGTGAATGGATTGTAGCAGTTTCTCCAGCCAATCAGGTTCATCTTTATCACACAATTTAACAGCTTCTGGGTGAATAGAATATGCTTTATCAAGACTCTCGTTACCTTGACAAGCTATCTTTTTTTCATCTGTAGTCTGCAATTCACAAGTTTTATGATTCTGATAAACTGGGGGGACTTCAAAAACGTCATGGACATTCAAGGAACGAGGAGAACCCATACTTGAACCAATTTCCGATGAATTCCCAGGAGATTTAGTTTGACTAACTTCATTGACAATGGCTACTCTTTCCAGGTCAAATAGATTGCTAGTGCTTAACTGTGGTGAAGGAGATCGTGTCTTGGGCCGTAAGTTAGCAGGATCATATGGATCGCCAGAGCTTAACTGTGAAGAAAGTGGCGAAGGAGAGCGTGTCTCATTTCGGAAGTTTCCAAAGTTAACTCCAGCTATTTCTTTCACTTGCTCGTCTAATTTTCTGATCTGTTCCCAGTAAGAGTTAATATTACCGATTGTGGAATTATCGGTCTTTCTTTCATTATACGAGGCCTGGCCATTTAATTCCTGTTCTCTGTTTTCCTCGACAATCTTAGGAATAGAATACTTAGAACCGTCTCTATCAACAATACCATTTTTTGGGTGAGAGTATTTGAGAGAGAGAGGCACGGAATTTCTCCTTCCAACGCTCTGAAGAATCGTGTCTCCAGCCAGAGTTTCATTTCTTAGCTTTAGATTTTCGGGAAACTTAATCTCACCAACACAGGGATCAATACAACCCATGTTTAATAATTTAAATTTACAGGCTCGAAGTTCATAATCTAAATCAGCCACCTCCATTTCTTTCTGATATACAACATCTTCAAATATTGCTAAAGATTCTTCTGCGTGAGACATTTTCTCCTCTGCCAATCTTTTATATTGCTCGGCTTCCATTTTTACTGCAGCCTTTTCTCCTTGCAAACGCAATATCACAGATAAGGCTTCACTGGCTGCAGTCGAGGAGGCTTCTCTTTCTGCATCCAACTCATTGTAAAGCTTCTGGAGAAGCTGTTGTTGAGCACAAAGTAAGTCTTTTAAAGCAGAAATGTCAACCTCAGCCATTATGTGTTCGATTTTGAAATACGAACAACTCGACATACGTCTGAGGAACGAAAAGGAGGAAATAACAAAAATATTAAACTTGTATAAAGCAGTTTAATTTGATTCAAAAGCAGAAGGTTTCAATGCAATGAAAATATTTAATAAATATATTCTTCTTGAATTGTGACTATTGGCAAGAGATCCTAGGATTTCATTTGACAATTCTCTCTTTCAATCAATAATTGTTACCTAATCCAATGGTCAAGAAAACATATGCTCTGTGATCATACTGACATATAGGTCCACCCCACCTTTCACCCCACACCACAAATCATCAGAAGAACGAGAACTATATGAACAATGAACAAATTATAATAGAATCTACATTCTGAATTCTTGTTCTATGATTCACTGATCAAATTCATGTCCATCATATAAAAATTCTCAATAAAGGGAGATTAGCCCAGTTCTAAAAGTCAATCAAGAAACACCATACCATATAAAATAAAAAATATTTGTAAACTGAAAGAATTATCACCTGATTCTCTGCAGAAAAGATCTCTTCTTCTGGAAACAAGAAGCACCAGCCACCTTCTTCCCTCTTCACAAATTCAACTTTTCCAATCCGAAAACCTAAAAATTTGGCTCTAAAAACCCAAGATAAAAACACGAACACAAACAGAAAAGTGGAAGGATAAACCAAATGGGAAAAGAAATACGTGAATTGACAAAAAATGAAAAATCTACTCTGCAGTTATTCCACGATATTGGATAAAATATAAGGAGTAAAAGCAAACTCCACTACAGAAAATTTGAAATACAAAGAGAAAAATAAGATCAAATTATATATATATTTTATTTTATTTTATTTTATTTTTTTTTTGAAAAGGGTTTTCATTTTTTAGCGGATTTGGCAAGATGAAATTCGGCCCTTGGAATTGAAACCCGTTAATTTTTTTTAAAAAAAACAAAAAAATCAACGAAGTTTTTTCTAATTTCAATTTTTCAGAACCCTAATTCCATGTTGCCAACCCAGAATCACGTTTTGATTGTATTTTCACTAGCAATTTTGTATATAGTTTCTTACAGAGAGATTTGCGACAAGATTGATGCCAATAACCATGCTATTTACGCGCTGGTGTCTTAAAATTAAACAATATAGTTATTACTGATAAAAGATAGAAGTTTATCTATAATGATAATAATTTTTTATTTTATTATTATTTTTTTAATGACGGGGAACCCGCAGGCGCTACCCTTCGAATGCGCACTAGATAAACTCTCGAACTGACGTAATAGCCTACAAATTACACTAATCAGGTAAACTGTTTTAGGTAAGTTCGGTGCGATAGGCTCGACCAAAAAAGTGTTGGTAGGGGGAATCGAACACATGATTAAAGGCCTCCGTGCTACCTACTACACCAACTCGACCACCTCATGATGAGCAGTTTATCTATAATTATATCTTTACGGCACTTTGTCAAAAGCTAGTTCACACCAAATTTTTTATTTTTTTTTTAATAATAAGGATATTATATTTTAATTACATGAAATGTGTATAACATTTATTGATTATCTCGTTTATGTCCTCAAATTTTTTTTTTTTTTTTATCGTATTCTTAGATAACAGGGTTCTAATAAAAAAAATTTATTGAGTTAGATTTAAATGACTTATTTACCTCTTGTACTTTCGAATGAGTCAAAAATAAAAATATAAAATTAAGATTGACATTTGTCCCTAGTTTTAAAGCATTATAACTGTATTTATTTCAGACAAAAATCATGATGAAGATCAATATTTAATAGTTAATGAAAGATAATAACATGACAAGAAAAGTTATGGACATAAATTTAAAGAAAAAAAAAATTATAGATCTTCAATAAATGTGATGTGGTCTGAATATAATCATCATATTGATTATCTTAATTTTTGTTTCAAAATTAATTTTTAAAAAGTTTTCTATTTCGGAAGCACTTTTTTTTTTGGGGGTGGGGGGGGGGGGGATTTTTTTTATTTTTTTTTTTAATTAGAAGAAGCACTTTCATGTCTAAAATAGTTTTGGAATCTCAAAAACTCTGTTTGACTTTTCAGAATCCATGTCAACTGAACCTTTAGTCATTTCTCAAAAAGGTTGAATCCCAATCTTAAGGGCCCCCACCGACCCTGCCCTGAGCCTTCGTGGATGTGCCTCTCAGGAGTCAGGGTGGAGAGCACATGGATAGGTCAAGGTTGTTAACCCATATGGTAACTCCCGCTTACAACAAAGTCAATTCCACCTTGCGGGGAATCGAACTCTGCACACTGCCGCGCTGAGCCCTATCCGCCCTCCCCTTTGTCACTGGGAGATATGCCCTGGGGGCAACCTTTAGTCATTTCTCAATTTACCTTCGAGCTGATCTTTCTTAAAATTTTAAACTGCTATATTTATTTGAATGATTGAGGTGGGAGTTTTTAATTTTTTTTGAATGCATGAAAATAAATCGAGAAAAAAATTATTTTTGCTTAGTCCAAACTCAATTAAGCTCCTTTGTCCCACATTAAATTAAATTTCATTTTCTTTCACCTACTTTCAATCACACAATTTTTCATAAAATAATCTTATATGTAAATCGAAAAATTTTTCTTTTTTTTTTTTAACCGCTCATTTAAAAAAAAAAAAAAAAAAGGTATTACTATTTCACTCATTTCAATTTGAAAAAATGGAGCCAACTGGAGGCTAAAGCTATGTTTAAACTTGAGCTCTTTTTTCGTTGTTTGCGTAAAAGTAGAGCATCTTAATGGCTTGACCTTTTGACATTATGATTGTGATTGCTCTGCGGAGTTTAATCATTCATTTTTGTGGCCTTATCAATTAATCACCATTACACGTGGGGTCCACTATGGGTCCCATTTATATTATATATACATATATATTTAAAAAAAAAAAAAAAAAGCTCATGCGACAATCCCTGGACGTCCAGAGAATTGTTACCCAAGAATAACCCATATATATAAATCATTATGGACCGACTTTCAAATGGATAAATTTAATTGGGGTCCACGCTTTGGCCGACCATTGACTCGTTGTATGGAAATGAGGATTTTGAACTATAAGTGTAAGAGAAATAATTATGTGAAGGATTCAACATCCACTACATTGTTGGAATTGGTTCAAAAATTAACCGAAAATTGGTTAAGCTTAAAACTAGGAAAATGAAAAAGTGTGACTTCGTGTCAACTTCGATCGATCGTTCGGACTTGATCCGATAGTCAAATTACAAAAGTAAATAGACCAACTTATTCTACTTGTCGAGTAGATCGTCGTGATATATTTGGAATCTCGAAACCAATTCCGGATGAATGAGAAATTGCAGTCCAAAGTTGGAAAAATGAAGTGTTGCAACTTTTCGAAAAAATGCAGATTTGAAATAAAGTGTTGCAACTTTTCGATATGAAATGTTGCAACTTTCCATGAAAAATGCTGGATTTGGGGTGTGTCCCTTCATCCACAACCCTTCATCTTCTATATATAGGACCCTTTAGATATGTATTTGTCATTTCCATTCATTCCATAATTTCATATTATTTATTTCATGTTAAGTTACATAAAACACTTTGTAAAAGTGATTATCTTTTACATCAAAATCATTGTTATGGTAGAAAGGGAATTTCGTTCAAGGTTGTTGGTCGAAGTCATTTATAGTGCTCCTATGACTTAACGTGGTCGTTGTATCTTGGAAAATGATTGTCGAAAAATCGTTGGCACCGATGTGAGGCAAATTTATCTTAAGGACCAAATATCAAACACGTGCCTCGACCCAAAATTCATCATTTGCATCTTTTTTCCTTCATTTTCTGATTTCTCTTAATTATAATTTGATTTCAGAAACAGATTAACATTATTTACATGTTTGTTCTGCGAGGTTTGATTCAAAGAATAACTTACTTTCGTTCAAAAATCGAAAAAGATGAATCAATATTCATACATTTGGGTTCGGTAATTATTATTATTTTGCTTCTCAAATTCTATTTTGGTAAGTCAAAATTACGTTTCGATTTCACGCAAATAAACGATATGCTTTTATGAATATCATATGCACATAATCGGTGTATTCCCCAACATACATAACTAAGAACACTGTCATGGACACATTGGTTACAAATTTGTAGGAAAATGAATAGTAAGAATTATATTGTGGTGTCAACATAGGAATAGGTGTTATTCATGGAATGACTAAATTGTCATTTCAATTGAAAAAGTGTACATAATTGTCTTTGAGATGATCGTGCATTCTGAAGTGTTCCTAGTAAAGTAATCTTTGAGAGTTTTGTAGAATGTACTATTGGAAAAATTGGTTTTAATTAGTTGGTTTGACCAACTTTTGATCAATTAATTTAGTTGGTCCCTTCAATCGGAAATAAGATTTCTTTGGCCGAATGTATTCTGTTCCATGAGTAGATTAATATGGTATATTTATTTTCTCAAAACCAATTTAGGGTGAATGAGAAATTAAGGCCAAAAGATGCCCACTTGATGTTGAAATAAAATAGGTGGGAATTGAAAAATACCAATTTCACATAAGAAAACTAGAAGAATATAAACCACCTTATATAGCTCAAGTTTGGGATTTGGGTTTGGGCCCCAAGGGGTACCAATAGTCTTTGAGGGGGAGAGAACCTACATGCTAGTAGGTTAAACCAAATCCCACACGCGCGCGCCGCCGTCGCCGTCCGTCCGACCTGCCGACACGGCACGGCCGTGGGTCGTGGGCTTAGGCCAAGCTGATATATATTTTTTGGTAAAATAACATTTAATTATATTATTTTATTATTATAATAATAATATATTTTATATTATTAATTTTTTTCCTTCCCCGAATTTTCTGTGTGTGACACGTGGTACGGTACTTCTAGAATTTAGCGGGTTGATTGTCCAAGTGACGGTTGACTGTCTAAAGTGGCGGTTGACTGTCCAAACCATTTGTATCTTTTGGACACAACTTTTCGACAGTTGTGTCTGTTGGGACACAACCTTTCAACATCTATAAATAGGCCCCCATACCCCGATTTTTATTCATTCCAAAAATCAGAATTAATTTTCTACTCTCCCGAAATTATCCCTTTGTCCTTGCATAATTTCTATTTTTATAATTCAGTCCTCGAAAATTACTTTTCGTGCATTTCAGTCATCTAGTGTGTGTGGAGAGATCTAAACTTTACGGGTTCGTCGGGTCTTGTAATTTGGAATACTACTATTACAAGATGAGGTCGTTGTATCTTGGAAAATGAGTGCTGCAATACCGTTAGTACCAGTGCGGGGCATTATCATTTTAAGGAGAAAGAGTCGAACTCTTGCCTCGACCGTTCAAAACCATCCAAATATCGTTACTCTGCCCAAATATAAATTATGATAACACTATTATTTGCTATTATTTTTCAACAATCTTAAAACGATAATGGCAAGTAGTAGTACGTCTGTCATACCCTCCTAATACGTCTGTCGTACCCCCTAACAATGCTCATGGGGAGAAACCGGAAAAATTCACGGGAGTGGATTTTAAGAGATGGCAACAAAAAATGTTGTTCTATCTCACAATTCTGAATCTGGTCAAAATCTTGAAAGAGGATGCTCCAACTGTTGAGGAGAAGGAAACAGATTCTCAAAAACGAGCAGCATTTGATGCTTGGAGTCATAGTGAGTTCTTGTGCAGAAATTATATCCTCAATTGTCTTGACAACACACTAAACAACGTATACTGTTCCGTCAAAACGGCTAAATTACTATGGGAGTCATTGGAAAAGAATTACAAAACAGAAGATGCCGGATTGAAGAAATTCGTTGTAGGCAAATTCCTGGACTTCAAAA